CGCTTTTTTTGGACCTCCTAATTCAGGATACCTCCTTAACAATAACAACTTTCTATTTATGTGTGCGACGATTTTACAGACTTTCTACGATCCACGTTTTACGCCTACTCTTTTCCTAATGCTTTCTTCCCTGCTTTTTTAGGAGAAGATTGAAAAGCTGGACAAGATTGCGCTGGTCGCTTCCTGTATATTTGCCGCCTACCGGAGGAAAACGTTACTAACGGAAAGTAACTAGTTTTTCCTTAGCGCGTGCGGGGGCAGAGGTCGCCACAAGTTTGTGGTGTGTGGCGTTCTCAAATGTACCAAACACCACACCACAAGAATCTTTCGACTCTGTATAACTTCTCGGATAATAAATGAAAGGAAAATCTTTTTTATAACAATAATACTTTATTCTAAATCTAAACACGTTTTTTCTAGTTAGCTTTATATATTAATCCGGAAACACCAGATGGCGCTGTCATGAAATTGACCCTCTTCTTTCTGCCAGCATCGGTAGTCGCCACATCAATTCCAAGTCCAATCCTTCCAAGTCGCTCACAGTGGAAGTGTGAGATGACGATGATTTTCTTGAATATGTCCTAAGTGGCTTTTCTTTTTTTTTCCTTTTCAATATATGCTGGCTTCAATCTGTCTATAGCAATATTTTGTTTATCGCCTTCTATTTCTACAGTGAAATACTTTGCATCTCTGCTTAGGACCTTATGTGGACCCTCATATGGAGGTTCTAACGCTTTTCTAAGCGCGTCTGTCCTGACGAAAACATGTGAACATGTTACCATAAATGCTTAAGTACAAAATGTCGTTTCTGACCATGGTGTGCCGTGGGTTTTGGCTTAACCAGCTGCATATAAGTCCTAAATTTGTCTATTGTGAAATTGTCTGGTCTGTTGTCATTGATGAATTCTCCGGGCATCCTAAGTGTAGTCCCGTATAATATCTCTGCTACAGTGACTCATAAATCTTCTTTAAAACTGGTTCGTAGTCCCAATAAAACTGTAAGTAAGACTTCCAGCCAGTTCTCTTTCTCGTGGCACATAATTGCGGTTTTCAAGGATCTATGCCAACGCTCTAACAATCCATTAGCTTCAGGGTGATATGCTGAGGTCCTGATTCTATTGCATCCTAGAATATTTGTGAACCTTAAAAATAGATTAGCTTCGAATTGCATACCTCTATCCGTCGTAATTGTCGCCGGAGCTCCAAAATGTCCTACCCAGTGCTGATAAAAATTTGTGGCTACTGAATCGACAGTAATATCTTTCATTGAGATAGCTTCTGGCCAACGACTAAACCTGTCCATCATGGTCAAACAATGCTTGTAACCTTTGACTTCAGGTAAAGGTCCAAGTATATCTAGGTAAACGTCCTTGAAACGTTCCCTAGGTATCGGGATTTGATCTGGCGTTGTCTTCGTGTGATGCGATACCTTGGCTCTCTGACAGTGGCTGCATTTTTGTGTCCAATTTAATATTTCTTTACTCATGGATGGTCAAACTATATCCTTCGCTATAATTTTCCTAGTTGTTCGACCACTGAGGTGTGCCAAGTTATGATATTTGTTAAATATTCGTCTCCTTAAACTTTCAGGAATAAAGGGTCTAACTTGTCCAGTAAAAGTATCACAATATACTTCAATTTTTGTATCGTCTATTGGTTGTTTCTCTAATATCAGAGAAGTATGACTACTTAAAATTTTCTTTAACTCCTCATCTCCTTCTTGAATATGGAGGAGTTCTTCTGCACTGATCACGGTTGGCAGGCTAATTACGTCCAATCGTGACAGTGCGTCTGCTACTTGGTTTTCCTTTCCTGGAATGTATTAGATATTCGTAGAAAATTGTCCTATAAAATCCAATTGTCTGGCTTGCCTAGGTGACGCTTTGTCTAGGTTCTGTTGGAAGGCATAGCTTAATGGTTTGTGGTCTGTTGATATTGAAAAATGTTTCCCTTCTAACATATGTCCAAAATATTTTATTGCTGTATAAATGGCTGTTAACTCTCTATCATAAGTACTGTAACGTTTTTGTTGCATAGAAAATTTGTTGGAAAAAAATCCGATTGGCTGCCAAAATTTTCCATTTCTCTGTTGTAGCACTGCTCCCTTTGCTATATCCGAGGCGTCGGTAACTTGTGAAATTTCGGCATTTTCTGCCGGGTGTGCTAAAAGCGAGGCGTCGATTAACGATTTCTTACATTCTATAAATGCTTTTTCTGCCTCTGAATTCCATTTTATTGGAGTTTTATCTTTTCTTTTTGCATTTTCCAAATACTTGTGGAGAGGTGCATGTATCTCGGCTGCGTTTTTTACGAATTTTCTATAAAAATTGACTATTCCTAAGAACCGGCGCATCTCGCTCACGTTTCCTGGTTTTTTACATTCCATTATAGCGGTTACCTTTTCCAGTAAGGGTCTGGTTCCCATTCTATCTATTTGGTAACCCAGATAATTTACCTTCTCTGCACCGAAAACGCATTTTGCGACATTTATTGACAAGCCATACTTTTGAAGTCTCTGGAATACTTGGCTTCAAATGTTCCTGGTGTTCCTCCTCATTTAAGGAAGCTACCAATATGTCATCTATACAACATGAGGCGAAATCTAAACCCAAAAGAACTTGATTCATGAATCTCTGGCAATGCACGAAAGTAGCTAGTACTCCAGCAAAATGCATTCATTGCGAAGGAAACCATCCGGCGAATTATACAGGTTGCCCAGTCTACAAAGAAATCTATAAGAAGAAGTTCCCCAGGCCTAGAACTAAGGATAATCTTACCTCGACTCCAACAACCAATACGGTGAGAAGCAATCAAAGCAACATAATTCCTTCTGTTACTTATACCCAGGCGGTCCAAGGAAACCAAAACAAAAGAAATTCATATGGGAACACCTTGGTAAACCATGATACTGATACACAAATCACAGACAACTTCAGTAGGCTGGAGAAACTTATCGAGAAACAAACAGAACAAATAAACAATTTACTATTATTACTAACAATCATCATAAATAAACTGATGTTTAATGCTAACCAATGATGCCAGTACGTATTGCTCTTTGGAATGCCAACGGGTTAGTTCAACATAAAAATTATCATTACCATTAGAAAAACTAATTAATTAGAATCAGTTCGGATTTAGGAAACAACATACAACAACGGAGCAAGTTCATCTTTTAGTACACAACATCAGTCAGGATTTGGAAAAGAAAAAGTATTGCTCTGCATTATTCTTGGACATCAAACAAGCTTTTGATAAGGTGTGGCATACTGGTCTGCTATACAAGCTTAAACGGATTTTACCGTACCCGTATTTCCTGATTATGCAGTCATATTTAAATAACAGACAATTCAAAGTACGACTATTAAACGTAATAACTTCGCCCTTTCCTATCGAAGCTGGTGTACCTCAAGGTAGTGTCTTCGGACCGTTGTTATATTCCATAAATACGGCTGATTTACCTATTACAGATAAGATAATTACAGCTACATTTGCTGACGATACAGCTCTTCTTTCATCCCATGAAGATCCTCGAACAGCTTCTGCGACTCTTCAGGAACATATCTGCAATATTGAAAAATGGCTCCACAGATGGCGTATTGTCGTAAACGAAAGTAAATCATCGCATGTTACTTTCACTCTACGTAGATCCACATCCCCCCCCCCCCATAAAAATATATAATACCGAGATCCCGCACAAAGACTCAGTTAAATATCTAGGGTTGTTGTTGGACAAAAGATTAACGTGGAAACAACATATCAAAGCCAAATGCTCCTACCTCAAAGGAAGAGTTAAAAAATTCTACTGGCCCCTACGATCGAATCTAAGAATGGAAAGTAAACTCATCCTATACAATAAGCCCATATGGACTTATGGGATACAGTTATGGGGCACTGCGAACAACTCTAACATCGAGATCTTGCAAAGATTCTAATCTAAAGTACTAAGACTAATCTCTAATGCACCCTGGTATGTTACCAATGAAGTAATTCATCGTGATTTAAAGATGCCCATAGTAAAAGAAGAAATATCAAGATACAGCATCCGCTATAGCTCACGCCTCACTAGTCATCCGAATCCTCTTGTCACCCAACTCAAAGACACCGCAACTCACGCACGTAGATTGAAAAGATATTACCCGCTGGAACTCGCCAATAGATTTAATTAACTAAATATAGACTCACATATTGTAATCACGCTAAATACATACATAGTTAACTCTAGAATGTAGTAACTGAAAGTTACAAACCATGCCACTGTAACATGCTAACCTAATTGCTTACAATTCTCTATGAGAATTGATTGTAATTACTTAATAAATAAATAAATAAATAAATAAATAAAAAAAAATGAATATCTGGAACGTTTGATGAACGAATTCATAGAGGCCGAAAGGCGTGATTATCGCTGTTTTTGATGCGTCTTCTTCGGCAATAGGAATTTGATGATATCCCCTGGTCAGATCTAACGTACTGAATATCCTGGTGCCATTAAGCTGATGGTTTCCAAAGCCGTGTGATACAGGATATTTATCAGGCACCGTTAAACTGTTGAGTCACCTATAATCTCCACATAATCGTCACCCTTCAGGCTTTTTGGGCACCGTATGCAAAGGGCTGGCCTATTCTCCACATGAAGGTCTACAAATACCCTGTTCAACGAGGTATTTAATTTCCTCCTTCGCTGCCTTTAATTTTTTAAGAGGCAGTCTTCGGGCACGTTCTGCAACTGATCTACGAGCGGTGACTATATGTTGTCTGATTGATAATGAATGTAAGGGTAATTGATGTCTCTGTACCGGCCTAGTTATATCTATTAGGTTGGAAAGAAAGTTCGTAGCGTTTTCTAGCAGGTGGCGTTGGAAGCGTGTGTCAGTTCGATGTTTGTTTAAAACAAAAGACTTCCATACATATTATAAAAGGTTATGGTTCAACGCGTCTCTCTGTGCAAGTAATTTTTGTATTAATCAATTTTACAATTACGTAATAGAAGTGTAAATATGGAGGAATATAAGGTGCACTTCCGTCATTTGATGGCTTTTTATTTTCGAAAGCGAAAGAACTCTACAGAAACACCACGGAAGATTTCTGCCGTTTATGGGGATGGTTCTGTTGCTGAAAGTACCATGGGAAAATGGTTTTCTCGCTTCAGAAGTGGCAATTTTTATTTGGAAGACCGAGAACGTTCTGGTAGTCCTTTAGTTGCTGATAACGATTTAATCAGAACACTAGTGGAAAATAATCCACGGCAAACAACACGACATCGCAGAGATAGCCTACATATCCACACGACCGTTGTGAATCGTTTAAAGGCCCTCGGATTCGTAAGTCGTTACGATGTCTGGGTGCCGCACGACCTGACGGAGAAAAACATAATGGATCGCATTTCCATAAGCGATTCACTCCTGAAGCGAAATGAAAATGATCCATTCTTAAGACGGCTAATAACGGGTGATTAAAAAATGGGTCCTCTATAACAATGTGCAGCGAAAGAGATTATGGAGAAAACAAAATGAAGTAGCATTAACGACTGCAAAAGACGGTCTTCACCCAAAAAAAGTCATACTATGCATTTTGTGGGATTGGAAAGGTGTTCTATACTACGAACTGCTTCCGCATAGCAGAACGATAAATTACGATACATACTGTGCCCAACTGGACCGTTTGAAGACAGCCATTTACGAAAAACGACCGGAATTAGCAAATCGAAAAGGTATCGTGTTCCAACATGACAACGCCAGATCGCACGTCTCGATACATTCCAGACAGAAGTTGTTGTAGCTTGGGTGGGATGTTCTTCCCCATCCGCCATATTCACCTGATCTGGCACCATCAGATTTCCACCTATTTCGATCCCTACAAAATTTTCTAAATGAAACAAAGATCAACTCCATAGAAGCTTGCAAAAGTCATGTGGACCAGTTTATCGTCCAGAAAGAGGACACTTTCTGGAAGAATGGAAACTTCAAACTACCATATAGATGGCAAAAAAGTAATAGAACAAAGTGGCAAATACATTGTAGAATAATATTATGTGGAAGAATATAAATGTTGCCTTAAAGTTTTGCTTAAAAAACGCTACGAACTTTCTTTCCAACCCAATAGAAATTTTCTTAAAAGGTTAAAATATCTATTGTTGTTTGTAATCGTTGAAATGGTCGGTTGATTGGACTTCGATATTTGTCCTTCTGCGGATAATGAAGTTGTATTGTCAAGTAGTCTGCGGTTTCGCATATCGACTAGCAACCCATATTTCTCCAACATGTCAGCTCCGATTATTGGTTGTTTGACTATGGCAACCACAAATTCCCATTTAAATGAACGGCGTAGTCCGATTGTTCCGGATAGAACTCGAGTATCGGCAGAATTTAGGCTCCTTTGTAATCGTGTGCCGTTAGGTCGTGTTAAGGGGATAGACACGGGTAATGCAGCGAGGTGACATTACCGGCAAAACTGGGCGTAAAAAGGGCTCCGTGATTTTTCGCTTTTCGTCTTTATATTAGCATATTTTAGGCTGAATGAGGGCTCATTCGAAGGAGGAAGCTTGAATACCTCCGGGGCTGGTCATAATTCAACGAGATCTTTTTAATATCTAATAATATGAGTGTTCAAAGTAAAGAAAGAATACGATAAAATACATCTGCAGAATCCAAGTATTTGTAAGTCACTATAAGAGTTTTGTGACTCACACGATGACCAGCCCCGAATGTATTGAACCTTTCTCTTTCAAATGACCCCTCATTCAGCCCAAAATATGCTAATATAAGGACATTCTGGCATAACAGCGTCTATCCTTTCCTCACGCTGCGCTGTTGCCATTTTACTGAAGTCGAAATATTCTTACATTTGCCGACGTCGACAGAGCATAGGAACAGACATCGGAAAAAGAGTAAAAGAAAACATTTACAAGCCTAGTATCATAACCAATTGTCATAACAATATCGTGTTTGGTCTCATTTTAATCAGGAAAACCTCACCAATATGTTAGTGAAATTTGTATTAAAAAAAAATTAACAATAAAAAAAGTTAGTTTGTCGCATTATTGTTTCACAGATTTGTAGGCACTTAAATTTTGTACGATCACCTCGACTCTCACAAGGAATGATTTTTAGGTATCCGCCTCCAATTGTTTTCATTTTTGGATATGTTTTAAAGGAGCGAAAAATAAAATATACGTATTTTTATATTTTCGCCTGTTTCATATTTAGGAGGTTAAACGACCCCCTAAAGTTTCAGCTGCAATAGGCTATCTCCGAAATTATCATAAATAAAAAAAAATTTTTTAAGTAAAAGTTTCATGTTTGCCTCTTACATTTTTGCGCATTAATATTATACGTACACCCCCGCTCATAAATATGTGGACACGTACTACTTTCAATGAATAATTAATGTACATCGTAAATTATTACTATTTCTATGCAGAAAAATCTGCTGTAATACCGTCCAGCCAAATCGGAAAGGTCACCGATTTGTCGTGTCTACCCCCTTAATATTCTTCCTCGAGCGACGCGAAGAACGAAGGGCCAACAATAGTTTATGACATGCTCGCGAAATATGTCGCTTTCGGTTGTAGCTGATTACCAATATCAAGCCAGTCAATATCAAGCCAGATGTGACCGTTTCGAGGTCTTTAAAATTCTGCATGGTTCCGAGGCTCGACGGCCGGCCATGCCATAAATTCGGAAAAACCCACGAGCGCGTTGGGCCTTCCGTGTGTTACCAGGCGACCACCTACCCCTAGTTTCGAGGCCGCGGGGGAAGACACCGCGACCGAGGTGAGCGTGGAACGAAAGGTGCCCTGATTGGGCCTTGTTCCTAAGATCGGGCCCCAGTCGGCGCACCCCTTGAGCTCCAAGGGGTGGCAACAAAGACGAGAAAGGGGCATTGCGAGGTGTCGTTGGTCGTCACTTGCGAGACGAATTCAATTCTGAGTGGGACAGTCGTCCGATAAGGGAGTTCTCATTCGGATGAGAATCCCATGTTGCGAGTCTTCGGACATTTCGATTTTTATCCCTCGAATAATAAAGTTCGGTGTCTTGGCGTAAACCAAATATGTAACTTTCCTTCGACACCCCTTTTTGGTCTGAACACCGATATTTAGCGTAATTATCCTGGTCCCATATGTGTTTATTTCTGTACCGTTTGCGGCGAAAAGTTTATATTCCAATGGTGTGGCTCTTCTATTTGCCATTTTTACCGGTAGTACGGATATATCTGCTCTCGTATCTACTAAAAAACGTAGGCCAGTAATTCTATCGGTAACTATCAACCGGCGGCTATTTGAATGACCGTCCCCTGCCGCCTCGATTTTGGGCGACCACTTTACTTTTCCGCCCCTTTCCACGTACAAGGCTTCTCGCAGCGGAATGCTTTTTCGCGCAATCGTCTATGGAAATAACAGAGACCTCCTTCGTTGTTCGGACTCTGTGACCGGGATCGGTTTCTTCCTCGCCATGAAGTATTTCTCCCGTCAGCCTTCTACGGAATGACACCATCTGCGCCATTTGGTTGGAAAGCGCGTCTATTTGACGTTGCGTATCCAACGCACCTCCCAATCTGTAAGCGCACTTATTGACTGATGTGTTTTTACTGTTATCTCACTCACCTTAGCCAAAATATCAAAAATTGCCCGATAGGTACGCATTTCTGGGCTCCGTGGCGATCTGAGTGATCTGAGATTCATTTTGCTCCATGAGCCTATCAGCAAAATCCGCCTGCTTCTCTATCTCCATTCCTTCTGTCACTGTTAAAAGCTCTTGGACTCTTCGTGGTAGACGTTGTTTCCAAAGCGTCTGCAATATTCTTTCTGAAACGTCTGAGCCAGAAGTAAGTCGCTTCATCTTCCTCAGGAGCTCCGAGGGCTTCCTTCTGTTCAATTCTAAATCAGTGAGCAGCTTCTGCGTCTGCTTTGTCACCGACTCAGAGAAACGATTAATTAATAAATTCTTTAATGCCTCATATCTGTTCTCTGCTGGAGGGTAGTCTAGGAAATCTGTTATTGTTGCTAATATTTGGTGATTCAAATGCCGTAATACAGTTTGGTATTTCGTAATATCTGATGTAATTCTACTTAATACAAATTCACTCTCCAGTTGAGTGAACCAAACCTTTGGGTTTTTAGTCCAGAATTTATTGATTCGCACGCCGTTGCACTCACTTATTTCTCGTCTGGGTTTTTTGGGCGTAACAAAAGTGTCTTTTTCTTCCTCACCTGCACTTCCCTGATTTGTCGGGCTGTTAGCAGTTGACATTTTTTTTAATTTCAGAGGAAAAAAGCACGTGTTCCGATGTAGCGCTTATTCGCAGCATCGGGATCACCAGTTGTGGCGTTCTCGAATGTGCCAAACACCACGCCACAAGAATCTTTCGACTCTGTATAACTTCTCGGATAATAAATGAGAGGAAAATCTTTTTATAACAATAACACTTTATTCTAAATCGTATTTGTACTTTTTAATATCTGAACAGGTCAGAACACGTTTTTTCTAGTTACTTTTATATCTTAATCCAGAAACGCCAGATGCTGCTGTCATGAAATTGACTGTAGCGGAAATACACACGAGGGATAAGGAAGAGTTCTGTGGAAATTCGCGGGTATAAATAAAAACTCTTATTTATCCGCTTACGTATGCGTCTATTCTCTATGAATACTCTTTCGCTTCTGGGATAGCGCGTCCTTTTTAAGCTTCGCAGAAGCGCGCCTAACGTAAGGCTTACCAACTATTATGTACAAAGAATTACAACTAGTGACTAAAGATACTTAACCTAACTAAAACTAGATGGCGCTTGCTATTTACACTCGTGGGGTTCGTGCTCTGTAATGAAACTTTCCCACAAGAATGTAATCATGCCAATCTAGATTCCCATGACAACTCTTTTACTTAGGATACTATTTGGAAGGGTGCGATACACAATAATATTCGACTCCTTTTTTTGCGATAAATTTTTTTTTATTCTTTTTAGGTTATTAGTATACTACTTTTCCGTGGCGCTTCGATCGCGTTCCTAACCGCCACACACTTATGGGGAATGCACGTTGTGTATAGGCACATCACATCGAAATAATTTTTACGCGTGTTTGTTTTCTTTTTAAAACCAATAACGATTTATTAACAATAATAACTTTTAACAGTGCTCTGAAACTGGTTGTCGCTTTTCCGGAGGTTTTTTACTTTGTGTCATGTGAAGTGCGTCCCTCTGCTTAACACGGCTTCTTCGAGAATCTCTCGCTTGCGCTTGGTTGAACCCAATGGCGTGCTGCCATTGGCTCTTTAGTTCCTCTAGGGAATGTTTTCCCCTACAGCACTCCCCTCTGAGTGACTTGGGCACCGAGTTGCGAAATTCCAAACAGATTTTCTCTTCTTCTTCTTTGGACCAGGATAAGTCCTCGACGCCCATCTGTCCTGGTTTGTGCTAGGCTGTGAAGCCTTTTCTGTAGAAGCTGAAGTCCCTGGCTCCTCGTCAGCTGGTGTATTGGCCGGCTCCGACACTGGAGATGCAGCTACTTCCGTAAAAGCTGGTTTTAGCCGGTTCACATTTACATTAACCAACTTTCCAACTATGCTGATAGTGAATGTATGGTCCGAAATGCGTTTCTCTACTACGTAAGGACCCTGATACGGAGGTTCCAATGGCTTCCTTACTCTGTTGACCTTAAAAAATACGTGTGTACAATCATACAAATTTTTATGCACAAATACCTTCCTTCTATCATGGTGCGCCGTTAGAGTTGAGCGCACCTTACGGATGTGCTCTCTAAATTTTTCAACAAAAATTTTCGGATCTGGAGCCATGTCTTTATCCAAGAAAAATTTTCCTGGAATTCTCAAGGTAGTACCATATACTAATTCCGCTGCCGTTGCACCAATGTCTTTCTTCACGCTGGTTCGAAGACCGAGAAGGACGGTGGGAAGTATATCAAGCCATTCATTATTATTGTGGCACATTAGGGATGCCTTCAATGACCTATGCCAGCGCTCAACCATCCCCTTTACCGCAGGATGATAGGTCGTAGCGTGCGTCTTCTGACATCCTACCAAATGAGCCAATGATTTGAAGAGCATTGACCCAAATTGGCTGCCTTGATGGGTAGTTACTACTGCTGGAGCTTCAAATCTTGCTATCCAAGCAGCGTAAAAGACTCCGGCTACCGTATCTGCCGTTATATCCTTAATGGGTACAGCTTCCGGCCAGCGTGCGAACCTGTCAATGGTGCAAAACCTCTTGATGGTGACAGTTGACCAACTACACTACCGGACAAACAAACCGGAACGATTTTTCAAATGCTCATAACTATGAGAGTTTTCAACCGATTTCGGTGAAACTTCGTGAGGAATAGTCTTCAAGTGTCTTCTGGGTGTGTGCAAAGTTGCATTGGCGAGGGTTGACGCGAAGGGGTTAATTCACCCCCCTAAAGGGGAAGGTGTAGAAAAACGCCTCTTTGAAACAGGCCAGGGATGACGGAAGGAGTTGAAAAATTCGAAAAAACCTTTGGGGCGACCCTCCTTGATGCCCTCTACAAAATTCACCTCTTGAAATCCCTCTCGGACAAACCCACCCCCCACAACCTCCCACCCCCTCTAAAATCCACAATTTTTGGACGACGGTCTCGATTTTGGGCTCAATGCATTCTCTGGACCCCCCTGATCGAGAAAATGGTATCACCCTATAGGGACCCTGTGGAGGGTGGAACAGCTCGCAAATTTTCAACCCCCTTCATAAGGGAGCACTTCCACACATCGGAGGACGATGAAATTCGCCATGTTTGTTCTTGATACGTTAAAGATGAATGCCGAAAATGTCCTATTTCGAAAACTGCCCCCAGAGCTGAAGGGAGGGGGGCAGAGGTAGGGGTGATCCACCCCAAAGTGTAAGAGTTGGAACGATGTTTTGTTGCGTGGAACACATGTGGTACGTCTAAGGTACGGTCCAAGGACTCAAATCTGCTCCGATTTGACAATGAAAGCGTGATTCAAAAAATCTGATTTTTGGGGGTTCTGTTAATAAAGCATTCGCGCGTCAGAATCCGCGAACAGCGTTGACGTGGGGTTACTCGTTCACCCTGCAGATGGGTCTAAAGTTGGAAGCGAGTTTTTAAAAAAATCGACATTTTCGTATTTTATTGCCATTCACGCGAAAAAAAGACATCAAAACTGTATCGCCCCAATGCCTTGGACACTTCAAAAGTGCTCCTCACGCAGTTTCATTTCAATCGGTTGAAAACTCCCATAGTTACGACGGTTTGAAAAAGTGTCCCGTTAATTGTTGGTAGTAGTGTATTATTAATCAAGTAAAAAAGATTTCTGGCTAATTTTGGTAACTGAACTAAGTTAATGTTGTTATACCTTGTATCTATTTGTTACTGAACCAGGTGCAGCAATTATTTCCGCATTTTCCGCGCAACCTAATTGTAGAAGACCTCAGGATGACAAGATCAGTTGAATGGACCGTTGAGAACATTCTTGATGGAGTATTGATACCACCTCATCATTTAATCGAAGAATCGCATTTGGAATCCGTCCCGCAGATCCATACGAATCCTGAGATTAGTGTTTCCTTGAATACCCCTTCAATGCCGTCATCCTCCGATCCAAGGTTTGACATTCCTATTGCTGACAGGTAATCTTATTTCTTTATTATCTATTTCTACTAAATTTACTTTACCAAATATGCGAAAGTATTTCTAATAAAAAATTAAAACAGTGTATTTTGCACCAACGCGCGACTTAACTTACTTAGATCAACATGTTTAATATTACAAGTTCAACAGAACTCGCATTTTTTTATAAATTTACGTCCGCGTAAGTTCATCTTGTATAATCCTTAATAAAATATGTTAGACTTACGATGCCCTTTCAGAGGGGACACACAAGTGCAAAGGATTAACACTGAAATAGAACTACATACAAATTTTCATAACAAATTATTGCAGCGGCGAAGAGCCTTCCAACCTAGGAGGACGATTTTCTAAATCTTCAACCGAAAGAGAGCTCATCCTTCAACGTCGCAAAGAGCACATGATACTCGGTGCTAGGAGGAGATACTTCGAGAAACGTCGAAAAAAGCATGAAACTGAACAACAACGTGTCTCTAACGCCACTTCTTAAAATAGGAAAAACAGAGAAATACATGTTGATACAAAGTTTGATTTTTCGTGCTTCGTAGCAGCTATCTTTTTCGAAGTGTTTATACGACTGATTTTCTTTGGTAACGCGTCCATTGGCGTCTACTTATTTTTGTTCACCTTACAAGTCTTGCTTACTCTTAGTTTTGAGAAAACCACATTTCCTTATTCAGTGTGTTTGTTCCTAAAATTTTTTTAACAATTTTAATTATTATTACACTTAAGAAAAATAATATTTAGAGGCACAGATTTTTATTTGTTTCTTTCCTTAGTTTCCATAGACATTTTTGTTTCGCATTGTCATAAATATTTGTCGTTTTAAGTTTAATTTCACCACATCTAAAAATCCATTCATTTGGAAGTTGTATGCTTTTTTTCTTGAGAAAAATACTTTCCTTAAGAATACACGTTTTTTTAATCTTAAGTAAAATTAACTTAAAGTATTAACTGTTTAATTCTTTAGCTTTAGTAAGAAAAATTTAACTTAAAAGTATTACTCGCTTAATTATTTTTTTATTCTGTATTTATTCATGTAATTGTTAAGTGCTATAACGATTTCGAAACTTTTAATTTTTTTCCAATAAATTTTCACAGGATTCTTTATATTGTATTTTTTTTTTAATACGTCTTTGGGAAATTTAATTTCGTATTATAAGAAAATAACCTTTCGCTAAAATTATTATTTTTTAGATTCTAAGAAAAGTTACTTAGAATTTTCGATTACATTTTCTTAAGAGAAATATTTTTCTTGGGAATCATAATGTAATTCCAGTTTTAGGTTATTTTTTTTAGAATCTTCATTTTCTGTTCATAAGAAAATGAATTTTCTTAAAAATAGAAAAAAGTGATTTTAACGTATACTATCGATTGGTTGTGAATTATATACTCATCGGTGGATTAGAGGACTGATAAAGATAAGAATGTACTGTCAAAGGTAATATTTCTTTTTTTTTTCATATTCTATTTCATATAAGTAAGAAATAAAAACATATAGCGTTTTTACTAGTGAATGATTACTATAATTTTGTTATTAATTTTATTATAATATTTTATGTTTGATTTTAGAGATAATACAAGTAATCGTAAGTAAATATTTACATTGTTCGAGAAAATTATATTTAAAACACATATGTTTGCAAATAAAATATTGTTTATTAGGGTATAAAAAATAAAAATTTGTGTTTTCTTTTTGCAATAGAATTACATTTTTTTATCAATTCTACGAGCATATTTTCCTAGCAGCATTTTATTTTTTTTGGAAAACACTATTTTAAATTGTATCTGAATGTTATCGAAATACAAATTCAGGAAACATTTCACATATAAAAAAACACTCTGAGTAGAATATGTGAAATCAATAATTTCTTTGGCGAAGTATTTTTATTTAAATTCCCATTAATATATTCTATTATAAATATATACAATGAAAAAAACCTTGTACTGCTCACAACGAATAAAGATTATACGAATGAATTGTTCGAGTGCCATGAAAATAATGTAAATTATGAAAATATTCGAATGATATGTCACAACAATTTGTATATGTTGTATTTTGCTGAAAATCGTTCTGTTTTTTAAGCGCTCATTCGGCAACAAATCATGCGTCATTTAAAAATTACACGGACATTTTATTCTCAAATTTGAATATTAAGTAGTTTGAAATTTCTCCTAAAGCTTACGGTATGAAAATGATGAGTACGCATCTTCTAATCAGTTTTAACATATTTTAAACAAAAATTTAAAACATACACAGGGTGTGGCTGAACGGGTGGTACAGCCCAATAGAGGGTGATACTACATGTAAAAATAAGTTGAAAAAAAGGAATAACATTTTTTCGTTTGACGCTTCGTTTTCGAGAAAAACGAGTTTGACAATTCTATTCAGTACGCGTGCACTGGACCGTCTCCCCAAGTCATTGTTCGCTGCAAGTTTCCTTACGTTTTTTCTTCCACCATGCGACTTTCCTCTACTTTTAGTCTGTTTCGATCAGTCAAGCTGAGACAATGTCTACTTGTAGCAACCGTGAATACGTCGAAATGATAAAAGCATTAGGAGCTTGTTCGAAATGTAACAGCAGCAGCTGAATATTATAGGCAACAATTTTTAAATCTCAGAAACAAATGAGAATTCTCTTCAATTGAAGAAAAAAATAATAAATGATTTTAATTATATAAAGTATCCAAGTTCATTAGCGTCAGTTCATGACTCACTAATAAGGCGAGCAATGATATGCACGCGACAACAAGGACAGCACTTTGAACATTTTATTCAATAATGTTATGTAACGTTAGAAACGTTAATAAAATTAATAAATGTATTGTCCATAAATAACCATTTCTTATTTATAGTACATATCTAAACCTAAAGGCGGTATAGTACACGCGTACTGGATAGAATTTTCAAACTTGATTTTCTCGAAAAGGAAGCGTCAAACGAAAAAATGTTACCCCTTTTTTTAGACTTATTTTTACATGTAGTGTCACTCCCTGCTCGGTTGCACCACCCGTTCGCCAACGCTCTGTATACAGAGTGTCTACGTATAAGTTCGGATATAGGCAGGGTGTCAATTCTACAAGAAATTTCCAACAAAAAATTACTGTTACACATTTTCTTTGTGTAGACTTATTTTCGAGTATTTTCACTTTTAATTTTTTTTCCTGTGTTTTCGACTTGACACTCTTTAAACGGCCATAACTCCACCAAATTACTGCGCAAACTTAAAACTAGGTATACCATTCGAAAGAGCGTTCAATTTCCCATCTCTCTGATGCAAAACGAAAATTTATTACATAGATTTAACAAGTGAAAAATTAGGTAAATCTTTACATTGTGACAATTTCAAAAAATTTGACTTTTTCTCTATTTATTTTTCGGTTTCAATACATAGTTGTTTGGCGAGCATTCCCCGGGAAAAACTTCCTCGAAGTCTCAGGTTTTGAATGGTATTGTCAAAAAAAATGATACGGTGGTATTTTAGGGAGAAAATGACGTTTGAATGCAGAAAAGCGTACGTTTTTAGGTGAAAATCGACATTTTTCAACAAAAATCGACTTTTCACTTAAAAATTAGCTTAACATCGGGTTTGATGTATTTTTTGGTGACAC